TAAGTTGATACATAATAGACCCCCTCAATCAACTTCCTAGTTCATTGTCACTTGTTCGTGAACAAAAAAGGTGAAAAGGCTTGACTGAGAGTCAAGGTTATGAAATGACTTCTCCGTTATTTACACATGGAAGAAAGGATAAGACAGCGTTAGAGGAGGATCCTCATGGGGTGTCCAGTTTGTCAATTGGTGATGATAAGCAGTTTGAAATCATATTCAGACCTTGAGCTGTGACAGTGCCTGTCAAAATGGTAAATCTAGACAAGAGGTATTAGAGATTACGGTGTAGTTTATTGACACAGACTGGTCTAACATGCCTAAAATGCTCAAATAAATTTTTGCTTTGTCGTGTGAGAGGCGTTACAACATGACAGCTTAGTGGCAATATTTGCTTGACCTACAACATATTAGAGCAGGGAAGAAGTGTGTTTGAGTGTTTGCGTGGTAATATATCCTTTTCAAGTTTTTTACTTGTGTACAGTATGTGTACTTATATAAACACACATGCACTACGATTCAAAAATTATTTGGCCTCGAAGACACATTCAGGAGTTACAACATTTGGTACGAACACCAACAATTTGGTTAAAGCCTCCACTAGTCTTTTTTACCCTTTATAAACAGTTTACCTGTTAATAATACAGCTTATTTGAGTTTAAAGAAAAGAAAACCAGCCTACCGTTTAACTATCTTCACATTGATCAGATCTTTTTAAAAAGACCACTGCAATTTAAGATAAACTACACATGAGCAGTCAATCAAGTGTTGTAGATAATCCTCACATTTACCATTCAAATCTCATTGACTCAGTCAGTTTCCTCCTCGTTAGTACAATTTGTTTCTCTTTGCATATCTGTGATCATAAAAGCCTACAGGTTGTACTATAAAATGCAGATCTGTGAGGATTTATTACCTTAAAACAAAAAAAAGCAGTTCACCACAAAAGTGTTTCAGCACAAAAAGGAAACACACTGGATGGGAACAATGGAATGCAAAATGTCCAAGATGTCTGCACACAGAATATTTTCAAGAGCTTATGTTTAATTTAGTTTGGCCCACTCTATTTCAATGCAACAAAAGAACAGAAGACGTTACCTTAAGACAAACAGGAAGACCCTTCATTTTCTTCTCATTGACAGATAAGCTGCAAGATAGAGACATGTTCAATGTAACAACCATTCCATTATTTATTTTCAGATCTTGGGTCTGCCGGAAGTTTGAGGTTTCTGCTATTTAGTTTGTTCTGATGATAACTCTTAGCCACGTGTACTACCAGTACTAAGCTTGTTTATTCAATCCAGTATTCATTTTAATTCTGCCAGGTTTGTCAACAATTTGTTTTGTGACATATTCGATTACATGTGCATAGTCTCTGTGTTGATAGAACTCCTAGTACACCTAGATCTGCAGGTCCGTTAAATCCAAATGATTTTCTGTCAATAGCTTTAAGCGAAGGACTTAAGCTCAGGATTCCTAGGATGAAAGGCCAGATTATGAACCTCTTCAGTGCCAAGGGCATTCGATTTCTGTCAGCACAGCACCGCAGAGGTTAAGGCAGTGCCTTGATAAACAGGTATGCTTCACTGCTTTTGAAAATTTGACTTTTTATTGGCTGTTTTTCCACGCTGGGTAAAACATGACAGGATGAAGTCAGGCAGGGATCGTGGAGACTTAGGGGTTGACAGTGCAGAACAGCCAGCATCATTTTTTTCAACAGGTAACGCAGGGAATGAAGGGCAGTGGGGCAAAAGTTGATGTTGAAAAGTTTGAATGTATTATCTAGTTTTTTTTCTTAAGATTGTTTTCCATGGAGTTTGTATGTTCTCCCTGTGTTTGCCTTGGTTTTCACAGGGTTCTCTGGTTAATTCCCCACAGTTTTATGACATACTATAAAGGGAGATTAATTGGCTTCTGTGAAAATTGGCCCTGGTATGTGTATGTACGTGTTTGTCTGCGTGTGCCCTGTCATGGACTGGTATCCCATCCAGGGTGTATCCTGCCTTGGGCCTGTTGCTATCCCATGACCCTGACTTAGATAAATGGATGAATACATTATTTTGTTGCTTAAATTACTGTTAATGACATGATGTGAGTTTTCTCTTAAGGTCCAGAAGAATGTGTGTGTCTCATCATGTATTTTGAATCAGTAAGTCACAGATTCCAGATTGTTTGGCTGAGAAATATACAGATGTGTTATCCATGAACTAATGTTCTCCAGTTACTCAAAAACATCATATCACGTTTTGACAGCTCACAACTTCAGTGTAATACATTAGCACCCATGACTAGCTGTCTCATAAAAATAATGTTCAGTTGCTAGTTTGCATCCTGTAAATCTAAGTGGAGTTGATAAAACGGTCCATTACCAGCTAACTGCATAAAGTATTTGTCATTTTACACTCTTCAGTTATATTTTTAGTGAAGTGTTAAGAATATGAAGCTTTTCTTCTTTCTCCAATCATACTCTGCCTGTCTGTTATAAGGGCGATAACAGCTCTTATAAATGTTTCAGTAACTGTTAAGTAGACAGTTATGTGCGCTCTCATTCCACGCTTATTTGCTTACCGTAATAAACTGTGATAAAATATGTGTCTCTGTAACTGCAAGCATCAGGAGTCACGGAGATTTCCATTGGAAATTATGTTGTGTCTGTTGTAATTGTCCAGCTATTTACATAAAACTGTCAGAACATGACAAATGGGTATTACAGCCATGCGTTTCATTTTATTTTTTTAATCTAAAGAATGTAGCAAACGATGCCCTGAATTATTGCAATTTTTTTTTAAGTCCTGTTGATTTTTCTTATTTTTTTCCTTCTTCACAGAGAATATTTACAATACTTCCCAAAACATTGTATTCCAAGTCGTATCTCAGGAATACTGTGCACTTAAATATTTTTTTTTTCAATTGTGATAACGTTTGATTATTTGTTTTTATGTTTTGGAATCTCAGTGTTTCCATTTGATTCCAAAAGCTGCTGTAGATATAATTCCGGACAAAGTTGTAAGCATAATATAATATGCTGTACAGTTGTTGGACTTGCATAAAGAAATTAAACATCTTATGAAAAATTGGGAAAATTACAGAATAGGAAATTCAAGCTTAGTTTTAATGTTTACAGTACTTCTGGTTCAAATTCCTTTTAAGGTTTTAAAGAATGTAGATGCTTGTTATCTTATGATAACCAAATTGATCTTTTGTAAGTCTTGTGCAGTGTTTTTGAGGAACACACTGGTCCCCAAGATTCCAAATGCATTGTGTATAGTCTTAAATAAAACAGTAATGTGTGCTGTCTTCTGGATGTGATAGTACATCACTTCGTATAATTCCAGATAATTCACAAACTATTAAATGTTCCCCCATTTGTTTTGTTTTTTTGCATGATTTGTGTTATGGTAATTAGTTTAGTGCTCCTAAAACAGAAATCGAGAGCACTTTGCAGCTCTCGAAGAGCGGTTCTTCTGTGCAAGGCTGGCAGAAGCTGCCATTTTGGCCTTTTTATGTGCTGTGGGTTATTTTGCCTTTATATTCTCCAGAGCTATTTGTTCTTTTTAAGGACAGTTTGTAGAATTGTCCCAGAGCCAGGGAATAAATTTGCCACGTGAGTTGATACTAATTGGGAAGCTGAGCGGAAGCCATCTTTTAACTTAAGATCCGTGGTAATTTAGTAGTCTAACCTACTGGATCTTTGTAATATTCAGAATGAGATATTAGGGTGAATCTCAGTAAGATTCTGTAGATGTATAAATCAACTTTGTCTTCATTTTTGCTACACTGGATGCAATATTGAATTTTAGAGAAGATTGTGCGTTGTGTTTCTCTTCTACTGGAAAAACTTACACCGGCACTTCCTTATGTTGGGAAGGTAGTATGATGTTAATATATTGTTTACTATATCATAATAAATTCCCCAAATTTGCTAACTTTAAAATGAAATCATGTTAATTATATTTGCTTATATGAGAATCCCTATGGTTTCCCTTTTATTTGAAGAAGTCACTGTTGCTGCTTTCAACATTTTGCTGTTCTGGCAAGAAATGTATCTTAGTACATCGGTGGATCATATATTAGGCATCCAATGTAGCCAGTGTCTGTTCTCTCACATAGTGCTCAGACAATAGAATGGGAACATTATACTTTTGTGCCTTCTCGTGCTTTGTTACAGTGTTCCATAGCAATTAAGAATTAAATCAGTAAGCAATTGTCCTTTCTTTATTCACACTTTTGATAAGTAAACCAATTTAAGTAAACCATTGACACATAATACAACTCAAACTAATCTAGAAGCTCAAATTCTTCCACATGCAGTATCAATCTTCATGAAAATTATTTCAGCAAAACTAAACCCTTTAATTGATTGATATATCCAGATGTATCTGGTACAGTGCTGAGAAAAAGCTTGTGAACTTGTGATTTTCATGTATTATTCACATTTGAAACCCATAATGTTATTAGATCTTAATCTTAGTCCTAATAATAGCTAATGTTAACCCTGTACCATAAGTACTCATTCGCTTAATTTATTCATAATTTTCTTTTAAGAGGCATGGAATTGGTTACTGTGAGCCCTGTTGGATATTTCCATAAAGCCTGGGTCATTGTAAAACAATTTTCTATATTTAGCTTTGAGGCTCACAAACCTTTGTGCATTGTTTATACTGCATGTCTTATATCTGGACTGGCTTTAGATTTTTTAAGTCATCTTATGTGACATTTAATTGGCAATATGATAATGTCCTCACAGAGAAAAGATGGGGGAAAACTGCTTTACCTTTGAATCGTCCTGTGAGTGCAAGGTGAAACTCAAGCTGTCCTTTTGAAATTGAACTTGATGAGTTTGTGAATGCAGTACACAAAATGGTAATCCAAAATTACGAGCTGACGTCACACTTTTGCAACACTCCTAAAATGAGCTGTAATTCATTAGCTTTGTTCCTAACCAAGACATTGAGGTTTAAGTGAATTTGTTCAAAAGAAATTACACACTTTTTCTCTTCCAGGTCACCAGCCCAGTGTACGTTCCTGCTCAACCTCATGAGCTTCTCCATCGCATGACTGGCAAAGGGCTGGCAGCCTGCTACCATTTCCCTCGTCAGCCCTGCATTTACAACCCCAAGATGGTGTCTGTGCAGATTACTCTGACCAACAGCAGCGACCACAAACTAGAAGACATTCACATAGGAGAGAAGAAACTTCCCATGGGACTCCACATTCATGAGTTTAACAAGATAGGTGAGACCGACGTTTGATTTATTGTATGTTATACTATATAAGTATGTGTTTGTGAGTATGTAATATATATTTGTGAGTAGTTAAATAATATTGAGTTTTATTTAGTGTGGAAGAACAAGTACATAGTGTTATGTCCACTAACGAGTATGCAGGTATGTTAAATGTTCTGGAACTTCATCATCAGAGATTACTATTCTTTCTTGCCATTATATAGTGATTTTTCACATGAGACAGAGGCTTTTACTTAAATATACATTTCTAAAATTCATATCTAAAGAGCAAGCATCTTGTTATAGGTGCCACTTGGTGTTTGTCTTATTTCTTCTGACTGCAGATTGTCAGAAGCTCAGAAGTCTGTGGCTATCATGATGTTTGATGGCTTTTTAAATGGTCAGACAGGCACACACTAAGATATATACTGAAATAGATAAAACGTCTTAAATTCATTTAAAGCTGAGTCTGTTACAAACAGCACCATGCTGTTTCCATCAAAGATTCTCTGTTCTGGTGTTTGGTTTTATAATGTATGACATTCCATTTCTGTGAAAACTAGACAGGGCTTCTGTAAGTCGCGTGTCGGACATTTCTTTCTTGTTGTTCAGATCACAAAAACGATCTGAAGAGTCCTTGACAATCACTTACAGAATGCAGAATGCCTTATCAGCTTGGAGGATGGCAAGTTACCACTGTTTCGTGTGTGTGTGTGTTTTTTTGCACAGTAAAATTAAAGCTTTCCAGGAAATTGTGCCTTATGTTGTTAAATTAAAACTGACCTGTTTTTAATTCTCTTACTCAGAAAGTCTGGATCCTGAGGCATCTATCACTGTTTCTATGGGCATCGACTTCAATGACTCCACTCAGGCAGCTAACTTTCAGCTTTGGTAAGGATTAAATTTACATGTCAGTTCTGTAGTATACATTTCTTTCTACACATAATCTCACCTTGTATTTTCACCTTGTTGAATTCTTATGGCGGGATTTTTTAAACATATTTGCCAGAATATACAGTGTCACTGTATTGGAAACACACTGAACATCTACCTTTTTGAGAGTTTTTACATCTTAGAATTTGCAGTACATCTCACAATCACACTTGCATAACCTTACTATAAATTTTCAGGTTCAGTGACAATAACAATTTTTTATCTTCTTTTTTTGCATAAACCTCGCTATGTTTTAGCCAGCATAACCAAAACAAGTAATTGTTCCTCTGTGGTGAAAGAGCTTGAGCTGTTAAAGGCGACTTAGCAATAGCTGGACACTTTTTTAATTGTTGTACCACTGTGATATATGATTTGATGCCAAAAACAATTTAATGGCCATTTCTTGCACCTTGCTTTTCAATATAAACAAAACATTTTTGCCTTGGAATGGAGAGCTTTTGATATTTTTTTAAATGTACATGAGAAGCAGGTGCAACTTACGGTTGTAGAACTCTTTCTATTGTTTTGAAAATGTGTTTTTCTTCTCTTTTTTTAGCATGGAAGAAACCTTTACTTGTTCCAAACTATTTCCAATATCTTCTTGAACCCATGTGCAATCTGTTTTTGCTGCTATATAAAATTAAATTATCAGACTTTGAATTAATTTGAAATGCAGTGTACTAAAAACAAACAGGACCTCACATACACTGTAACTGATAAGCAATACTGTGGCTCAAGTACTTCATGTATATAACACTGGTTATATTTGAATTGGTTCACCTTGTTGTGCTGGCTTTTGTTTTCTAGCATTTGAGGGTTTTTTGTGAGGCAGGGCCACACTCCAGAAAATAAAGGGATTACTTAATTATCTAACCGCAATTTTATCATTAGCATTCCTGGTCTAATCTTTATGCCACAGACAACATACTGTGCTTAACTGTGTTCTTGAAAGATATTCTATTTGATTTCTTTCTGAATATAGGATATGAGGCTTCCTTTGCCTCATCCTTATAACAACCTGGAAATGAAATTGCAATTTAAATACTTAGGTAGTTATGAAGCCAATAATGAAAATAAGAATTGTAGCATATCCCATTGATTTTATGCAGATTATCACCTTTATGTTTTGGGAGGTCTGGTGCATTAGTGTTATATATAAAAACCGATTACTTTCCTCCACATTGCCTAGTAATTTTTTATTATTTTCCTATTAGACAAACAACACTGATCAATATAATGGAATGCCAGGCTATGAATAACGTCACCATAAATAGATTTGCCTCAGACATTAAAGGTAGATTAATTTTAATGATCTGGACAATGTGAGCCCAATGACACAGCTCACCAAATTACGGATTGTTAGATAAGCATTTGTGATAGATTAGTATTATATTTTTTCTTTGCCTCAGGCTGAGGAACAGTTCTTTCTGACATTCTCATGCAGGCCAGCAACTACTTTTTTCCCCTCTTTATTTTTTTGTTTGTTTCATTAATGAAGCAAATCTCAGATTAATTGCTGCAACTAGATATAGGTTTTATATGATCATAAATCTGTATGTTCGCAGTGTCATTTTGAGTTCTGAATCATCTCAGGGGAGAAATTCAATAACAGCCTTCTATCTTTTTTTTAAACAATTTATGAATGTTAGACTGTTTGTTTTCAATATACTGTTTGATTGGATTTTAATTAGGGATTGATTTCAGTGTAATTAAAGAAAATGTTATATTTCTAATGCTGGTGATGAATGTAGGCTTTTTTCTTACTTTAGAAGCCTTGTTATATTGTCAATTGCTATAGTCTACTTTAAGTATACACCTAAAACATTTGAGCATTTACAGATAATATAGGATTTGCAGGACCTGTTTGATAAAGATTTATTAGTACTCATACTATTAGGGTAAATGGTTTTAAGAGGGTGGCTATAACTAGTGCCATAACTAGTGGCATTTTTAAGCAGGTGTTATTTGCAATGGACCAAAGATCTCAAAGTATTCATAAAGAAATGTCAGTTAATATGACTATATAATAATTGTGACCAATATAATATGACTTAAATTCACTTCTGGTTCTCCATTCCTCTAAGCCTGAGACAGTAAGATGGGGTAGAGTTATAAAAAGGTATTATGTAAGGATGGCATTGTAAAGGGTGGGAAATGTATTTGCTTTTATGCGTGAAACCTGATTTCCCAGTTAGGGCACAGTACAAGAGAGGAATTAAGTTTAAAGTTGATGATAACTATGAAACTAAATAATATCCAGTAAAACTTTGCAGTCATCTTTTTGAAATCCCCATTTTAGCTTTTGCTGTCAAAAATCATAGCTGCTTTGACAGTTTATGGTTAGCCAGTTTAAAAGCAAGAGAATTGCGGCAACTATTTGGGTGAGAACTTGGAACCAGCAGAGGCTGGTTTACCAAGTTTGAAAGTTTACCAAGTGTTTTTAGCCCCCTCAGTGTAAAGATGACACATGTATTTGTCATCAAATGACCACGCATCTGATTTGGGATTTCTAGAGCACCTATGTAAACTTGGCCAAGAAGGGATATAAGCAACACCGAATCCTTTACTGTGATGCAACTCATTTCAGCAGGATGTGAACTTTAAAATATCAGTCTGCTTGTCCTGCTTTTTCAAAAGCCTCAGGATACTTCATGGGCCCTTTACTGAATTACTATTCCTTAAATACCCCTTTGCTTTGAAAGGTAAAAATAAGAATCATTTGTATGTGTATTAGCAAGCAAATAAAAGGCCATTTCTTTCTTTCACATAAAAGTGGATTTCTTTAACTGTTTCTTGTGGTGTGGTGGCACTGCGGCTAAGGATCTGCGCCTGTGGCTGGAAGGTTGCAGGTTCAAATCCCATGGGTGGCAGAGGAATCCTACTCTGTTGGGCCCCTGAGCAAGGCCCTTAACCACAACTGCTCCATGGGCACCATATAAATGGCTGACTCTGTGCTCTGACCCCAAGCTTCTCTCCGTCTGAGTGTCTCATTGAGAGCAAGCTGGGGTATGAGAAAAGACGAATTCCTAATACAAGAAATTGTATATGGCTAATAAAGTGATATTACTATCTTACTATTCCATCCCATTTATCATTATCATTACTGCAGGTTTCTGCAGTAATCCCTCCTTTGTTGTATTTTCCAAGAACAGGAAACCCAACCAACAGCAAGGCCTTATTGAAATCATTTTTTTTGTGAGCCAGGGCAGTACAATTAAAAGAAAATATTTTACGATCTTAGCAAATGCACAAGGCATTTCAGGAGATTGATTATTGTGTTATTCTGAACACATGCAGTATTTGGTATGTACACAGTAAAGAACCTTCTTTAGAAGTCAGAAAATGAAGAATTTAAGAAAAATAGTATAGAAAGGATCCCATTTTAAACTTATGTCAAGACAATATCACAGTTTTTTTTCAATGTCATCAAGAAAAATATTGTGATGTATGGTATGTCATCATATTGCCCACCTCTTCTCTGTATCATAAGACATAGCAAAAAGATATGCAAATGAAATTCACTGGAAGGAACAATATTTATCTTCCATTTACAGGGGTCATGTATTACTCTGCTGCAAGTATGTTTGCAAACCATTTGTTTAAAAAGCTGTACAGGAAATAATTAGTAAGGTATAGCAGTTACTTGCAGTGAAGCTCTCAGACGCTTATGTTCTGTACTGAAGTGTTCTGAATCTGTCCCCAACAGCAGCTGTTCAAACATGCCTGACTTAAAGGGTAAGAGAAGGAGAGCACAAACTATTGAATTTAATTTATTGGACCACTGGTGTCGTGTCCAGGGTGTGTCGCACCCTCTCCTTGTGCACAGTATTTACATGGATAGGTTCTGGCTCCCATGTGACCCTGAATGGGATAAAACAGTTAGAGAATGGATGGATGGATATTGTAGTATATTAGTTTTTGCTTTTTCCTTATTTACACTTACACAATACATTTTGACATGTATTGACTTAAACATTTCTGCACTTTTAGCTATATCTCCTTAGATTCTATTCATTTTTTTTTTGCTTTCCTATGTTGTCTAGAATGGGGGTGGGGAAGTCAGCCTATTGGGCTGGTGTGTCTAGGTATTCATTCCAAGTCAGCTCTTAACAACCTAAATCAGCTCATTATTGCCTCAATGAGACCAATTTCACAACGTCTCACAGCTCTTCAGGTGCTGCTAATTTAAAGAGACCTAGAAACCTGCAGGCACAAAGGCCCTCTGTGGCTAGGATAGCCACCCCTGGTCTAGACGATGTCCATTACCTCATGTAAGACTCCATATTGTCTACAGTAAATGTCACCTGCCAGATGGTTAACCAGTCTAACATGTCTAGATCTTTGATTGAAGATCTTCCTATTTAGATATCAGATAGTCAGGTTAGAACACAGATTGCTAACTATGCCAGGATCTAAATTATTAAAATCAAGAAGAGCAGTGGTCCTTATAGAGATACCTGTGGTACTCCTCTAATTGTCACCCCTTATGTGTACTCTGGTTTTCTTTGGTTGACCTTTTTATTATTTGTGTTCAGTAAAAATACCTGTACACTTAGTTTTAAAGTGAACAGAATGAATAACAGCCAGTTTAAGGCTTAAAATGTATCATTTACCTGTAATATCTATCATATTGCCATCAACCATTTCTCTTCAAATGTTTTTGATTAAACAGCCTGTAATACTGCTATGTATAATTTGTCAAGTGTCCATTTAGGAAAAACATAAAAGGCAACTTGTAATCCTTCAATTTATAGAACAGTTATGTTTGTAAAATCTTTATGCATATCCAAATAACTTACAGTAACATCCAATAACATACAGTTTAACATACTCTACCCCAACTACTGTCATGTAGCAGTATCTGCAAAATGTTTTCTGTATTGTTCCTTATTTTTCCCTACTGAGGATACTGCAAGACCTGGAATGTTTGCAATGATGCCAGTTGTCAATGGCATCAG